AGCCATAGCTATTGTTATAAATCCAGTATAACATGGCAGGACAAAACATAAAAGGGTACAAGTATCATGCCATTAAAGAATCTGTCAAAGAAGGTAAAATTCAATTGGTTTACTGTCCTATTGAGATGCAACTTGATGATATCTTCACAAAAGGATTGCCAAGAGAAAAGTTTGAGCTTATGAGAATGAATCTTGGTGTTCACCAGGTGTTCAATCATTGGGGTATGTTGAAGAATGATTGAAACCTGAGTGCTAACTACTGTCAGAGGAATGAAGACTTAGTGGAATTTTGGAGTTTTTGGTTGTTATTAAAACACAAGCAGCTGTGTCGGTTTGGTCTTATTAGTTTTGACTAAAAGCTTTGTTGTGGGTCGTTTTAGTATACTAGTTAAACTCAAAGGTCTCATGTCGTTTTGTTACTTGACCAATGTCTGTTGTAATAGCCGTTATAAGCATTGGTAGTTGGGAATTCTTGTTATTAAATTCTGTTGTTTGTGTCATTACAAAGCCCGATCTTTATGGGTTCAGTTGATTAGCTGTTAAGCTCTAACAAAGCTGGAAATAAAGTGTGAGAGTTAGTTTTCTTTGTGTGATCAACTTGATTCTTCTTTCTATTCAGTTTTCCTTTGTTTTCTTTCTGTGTTTTCAGCAGTAAGACAGTACTCCTCCCTAAAAATGCAAGCTAAATATACTACAATAAGTTTCTAAAATAGCCAAAGCATTAAGATGGATTATAAGATTAGAAATCAACATGCATATACACTACAGATTTTTAAATCAAATTTGCTGTATTATTCTTTAAATAATATTTAGATTAATATAGCTATATTAAAAAAAACAAAAACATTTATACAACAAAGATGGGTATACATGCATGATGTTTGGGGATGATTAAAGAATTACTTATATAATCATTGATGCTTGTAATAATAGTCATATTTATGTATGCAACATGCAATGTTCTTAATTACAAGGCAAATATCTCAGAAAATTATAGTAATTAAAATGATTAGATAAATATACCCAAACATCAATAGATAGATCCTATTCAAATTCAATAAATCAACTTCGAAAGGGCTAAACTAATAATTGGTGATGCAAACTAATTGCATGACATAATCTTTTCTTTCCAAAAGTAAGTTATATATATCATCAAAATCTCAAATCTAGTTTTCACATAGCACAGTAACAAAAAAGTATAAGCTTTTTTAATTTTAAAAGTTTATAATTAGAGATTTACTCTGAGAAGCTCACATTCTATATGAGGGACAAAGACTCTTTGACATTCTTCACAGTAATATACATGATCACTTAGGGTTTTTTTTTTTTGCAGACGTCACAATTAAATTCTCTTAAATTATCTTCGATAAATGAATCTTTAAAAGTGAAAAGATGAACATGACATTTATATTTCAAAATTTGAAAAAGGGGCACACATTTCATATGAAAATTGATGCGACACTCTAGACAACGATAGAAGGCTTGTTCGCTACAAATTTTGTGAAACTAGGCAATTTGAAAATATAAGTTTCATTTTTTCTCCTAATATGGCTATGCTCTAACTCTACCAATAAGGTTAAATATTGACCATGTCGACATGTATTTTGTGATTGGAAGTCGATCTCCCAACTGCACCACCAGTTACAGAATAATGGTATTTGTGATATTTGTTCAATGAAACCAATAGTTGCTTTTGATATACTTCCAACCTATGCCACTGGAATTAATTGTGGATTTGATTTTGACTCGTACCACTGAAGTTAATTGTAGTTTTATTTTCGCCCTATGCCACAGAGGTTAAGCGTTCTCGTAACATGTTATAGGAGACTATTAAAATATGTAATGTTTGTGAAATTTATATTTTGTTCTGTTATTTGAAATTTTGGCATTAAGATACCTTTGTTATTCGGAATTAGATTATCCAAAATTTTATTTTTGATACTTATGTGAGAATATGTAATTTTGGCCTAAATGTTTTAAATATGCTTAATGCAACTGAAGAGTTGTTAGTTATTTGCAAAGTTGTTGTACCCACTCCCTTTTTCACATTTTTTTTCAAGTTGTGATTTGGTCAATCATGCGAGAATTTTGAGTGATGTTTTGTAATCTGTATATGAATACAAATTATCTTAGGATTGTTTAAATGTTATGAACTTTAGACTATTAGACTATCTTAAATTAGCTTTTAAACCTTATTCTCGACATGTTAGTTTCATAGTATCATAGACTTAATTTTAAACATTGTTGAATTATGACCTTTTGAATCAGTTGACAGATTTAGTTTTAATGAATCATTTCATCCTCTAGTCATATTAGCCTCTATTAGTTAGTTGTATGAGATATATGTAATTGAGTATTGCATGTTTGTAAGATTATATCTTATAAGTATGTGGTGTTTATTGTGCTTCAAGTCTAGAGCATGATAAAACTGATTTGGCTTTTTCCAAAACTAGCTTTTATGCTAAAAGGAGTCTCTGACTAACAAGGTTTAGGTCGCATTTACCTTTTTCATTAATAAAATTAATCCCAACTTTAAAAAAAATAATATTCTTCAAATCTTGTCTCCCAATACACTAAATAGTATTAACTTGACATTTCACGTATTTTCCTAGAGTGTCCATAGTTCTTCCATGGATCTATCACTCTGGGATATACTCCTCTGGATTCCATTTGCTCTGTTTCTTCCCTTGTGAAAGATTAGCTCTCAACCTGGATAGAGCTCGTCTCAAATTCTGACTTTAAATTTGAAACTGCTCTTATTACTGGTGAAGATTCTTCCACCTGACAAAGGACAGATGTTGTTAGTTTCTGAAACTGAAAACTTTACTAAAATTATATTCAAGTAAGAATAAATTGTAAAGTTTAGTAAATTTAGTAGAGATTTTTCTTTTGTCATATACACATTTCATTTGTTTCATTTATGATTATAATTGGCAAATTATTCTCAAGGGCATAGGTCGGTCTGGAAATTATGAAACACGAAGTCTATGTGTTACTGCTTCTAGCAAAAAATAAAAAAAGGAACAGAGTGATTCATAATATTTTCAGCATTAGTACATAATTCTGATTAAATCAATCAAATTTCAATATAACAAAGCAAAGTGGTTAGATTTATAAGTTTTCCTGTCTAAACCATGAATGGAATTTTTTGTGCATACAAAATTGTATTTGTTGTTCTTTTGAAATATCAGTAACGACATTGACAGATTATTTCTAATAGAGAACATAGATTTACATGGACTTACCATTGGAAGCACACATTCAACGTGAGCAACGACGTGGCCTTGACATTCCTCACAATAATAAATATGATCTTTTGGATGTCTCTTTTCTTCACAAATATCACAATAGTATTCTTCCGAGTCATCTTCAACAAAAGAGCCTTTAAGGATAAAAGGATGAATGTGATAGGTAGATTTAATTGTTTGCGGGATAGGAACACATTTCAAATGGAAATTGACAGAACACTCCACGCAACGATAAAAGGGTCCATTGCACATTTCACCGCATGTACTACACAAGAAGCTAAATTCATCGAGTTTTCTAAATCGGTCTAAGAACATTTGGCTATCTATTCCAAAGTAGTAAAGATTGTGCTTGTGAGAGCTAGATTTTAAGACCCTCCCAAGGGAATTGGCACACACTAAGTGGAGGTCAAGTTTACACTGCCAACATCCATATCTAATGAAATCGCCCAATCGGAACTCCAATTTGCAAGCATGACACTTCCTATCATTAGGATCATGGAAGGCAACCAAAGGATGTGAAGGATGAAATGGGTGTTGTATCTCTTGTGGTAATGTTCTAAGGCAAGATTCATGAATAAAGTAAAGGCAATCAAGGCAACAATAGGCTGGACCTAAGATTGGTAAATTGCAACCACAACATGCTGCTGATTTATTTCCAAGATTGCCAAGGACCAGCATATGCTGATGACTAAAATGGAGTAACTTGGTTTCTTTCTCCCTAAGTTGTGGCTTTTGGCAACCAATTTTAGAAGCAGCTAACATTGCGCATTTTACATCGATCTTGAACTGACAATCCATGCAGAGGTAAACAAAACCACCAGAAAATTCTCTACATTCATCACATAAAAAGTATCCACTTTCTGAATAAGGGAATTGAGGTAAGAGGGTGAGATAATGTAGGGAGTGAAGAGGGTGTCTCAGCTCATAGGGTAACTCAGCACACGCTTTATGTAATCCATAATGGAATAAAGGAAATTCACAGGTTTTGCAGATGCAGACTGTACCATTAAGCTCTTGCCCACAAGCTTTGCAATTACCATACTCATACTTTTTAGTTAGATGGAAAAGGCTTAAGGGATGCCAATGGCTGAAATGTTCAATCTGCAGCTCAAAGG